ATGGTACTGTGATTGCTGAGTGTTTGTAGAATATACTTTCTACGCTTACCACGACTTCTATTTTACCGTTGGATTCAAGGTAGCCTACCTTGACGCTGGTGATAGTCTCATTCGCGCTTATCGACTAAGGTAAACTCGTAATAACCTCAAGCATATTTCGTGACGAGCGTAACATTCTTGTACTAAAGAACAATGAAAACATCCACAACCCAGCCATTCAGCTCAGAAAAGGCAACTTCATCATATACATCCACTATTTCAATGTATAAAATCATATTTTTATTCTTTTGTTTTCAGCCATCTGATCAATCAACAGTACATTATTTATTTTGTGATAGTATAAAACCATGTGAAATTATTATTCAATTATCAGTTATTTATCAATGGCCATTACCTGCTGTAAAACATTCAACTACATCTACTAATTCACATATGCTTGAAACAGAAGAACCAAATGAACAGAACAATACACAAGTGTTACCGGTAACTAATACATCAAGTAGGTACACTATCGATTAACTATATTATTGTGACAAATTTGAGAGATGCATAACGGGGTTGTGAAGATTGTTAAGTTATACATTTTTGAAACCATGAGTCGATCAATTTTTGTCCACCATTAGAAACCTGGAAGCACTGGACGGCCGTTTCGTCCAGGTATGGGACTCCTCAGCAGTGCGCATCCACGACTCCTGCACCTCACAGGATTCGAACCCAGAACCTTCGGTATTGTGCGCGAACGCCTAACCATCGGACCACTGAACCGGTATCTGATGGTGTTAATGTCTAACTTGATCAATTCACGGAGTTGCGCAACCTCATACACAGTCTTTGGTAGTTACTGCCTGCACCCGAACAGGTTGAACTTCAAAAATGTGTAACTTAACAATCTTCAAAACCCTGTAATGCAAATTACCTGTACTCACTAGTGACTAGCTTGGTGAGGAATCTTCTCCGAGTTCTAGAGGGAAGACGTGACCAGTGAAGTTCAACCTGTTCGGGTGTAGACAGTAACTACCGAAGACTGTGTATGAGGTTGCGCAACTCTGAGAATTGATAAAATTAGACATTAACACCATTAGATACCGGCTCAGTGATCCGATGGTTAGGCGTTCGCCTACAATACCTTGAAATAATTATGTCAGTTAGTGAACCAATTATGAAACTGTTCATATATACTGTTGAAAAATATTCTAGTTAAAAGATTAAGGAAACAGGAATGAGTTTGAAGGTTTAATTTAATTTGTGAATTTTCGAAGATATATGACAAGTTTTTTAATCATGCTAAAATAAACTTAGCGTCAAGGACAAAGATATAAGCAGTTGATACATACTTACTTACTTATGCGCGATACCTCTAATGGTGTATTGGTCGCCGACCAGCGAATTATTTTTTCTGGTTAGCATTTTCTTAGCGAGTTGGTATTCTGTGGGATGGAGTCGTCAACCCCATGCTCAACAGTCCTACTTAATCCGAGCTTAGGACCGTCAGTAACCACAGAACGGATCAAGTCGGTGTTAGATGTATGAGTAGAAATCGCAGTATGTTTTAATTTTTCCAAATAACTGACTGAAAAGTTGTGCTGTGTTGCAGTTTAACCCGAATAAACGAATAAAAACTACTTCCAGGCAGAGTTTTGGAGGTTTGTGTTTTTATACATTTGAAATCATCAATCAATCATTGTTAGACCACCATTAGAAACCTGGAAGCACTGAAAGACGGCCGTTTCGTCCTGGTATGGGACTCATCAGCAGTGCGCGTCCACGACTCATGCACCTCGCAGGATTGGAACTACTTTGTTTATTTAATGTATACTAGTTGTGTTGAAAAAAATTATTACTCTAACATAGCATCACATTATCTCTACATTTTGATGACAATATGGCATTTTCTTACTGATTATAAGCATTTCGACTACTGAAAAGAGATACGTATATGTACTATACAAAATAAATGGTTTTACTACAAAATTGTTGCCTAAAATTTGATTGACTCATGTTCATTGTATAGGCATATAATTCAAGCAAGTTGTAGAACAGTATGTAATTGATTGCTGATTTAAACAACTTCCAACCATAAAATATACATGAATGGTGATTTGTAGAGATAGTATTATTTTTGATAGTTGAAATCACTAACTGGTCTTAGTCAGATCATCATTAGAAAACTGGGAGCCGTTTCGTCCTGGTATAAGACTCATCAGCACTACATATCCGTATCTCGATCTCCCGCGTGAACATTTAACATTTTGCTCCTAGGTTTCCTATGATGGTTCAACGTTGTTCAGTTCATCATTCCGATGAAAATCAACAGTCTTTACAATCCTATACTGAAAAACAATTGTTAATTGATAAAGCCATGTATTTGTATCTATTGAAAGAAGCTTCATGATAGTTGGAACAACCGACATGGTTTGAGTGAGATGCTAATGTGGTTAACCTTTTTTAGCGATTTGGATTTCAATGAAATAAGGTCGCTAACCTCATGCTCGACCCTCCTCCTTAATTTGGAATTTGAACCAGCAGTTACCTCAGATAAGCTCCTGGCGGAGGTGAAATGCTAGTGTAGACTGGCTGAGTATATTATTTATCTAACTGTTATGCTTGTCAACTTGAACTATTACGAGTTCACTTTAGTCGGTAAACGAGAGCTAAGACAAGTGATCCATTGACACGATAGGCTACTCTAATCCAAGCGTCCCAAGCCCCCACTAACGTTATTAAAAGTTTTGATATGAAGTAGAAAGTGTATTCTACAAGCACCCAGAAAATATGACGTTTTGTACAGAAGAAGAAGAAGAGCATAAAACCAGACAGACAATGCATATTTATGCAGTTAGGTCCAATAGAATTAGACTCACAAAATATTTGATGAATATCCTAATGCTAACCATGTTCATCGTCTACATATCGCCGTCTGCATTGGTTCCAACATACGTGTATATATTTACATGATAACTCTCTATTCAGCTGATGTTTTTTTCTAACTGAATAGTTAATTGATCAACTATTTGTTATCTAAATTTTACTGATAACTGTCAAATCTCAACATGACTTACTGACTTACTTACGTCATGTTTTCGTTGTACAGAATAGGTTATCGACTAGGATTCTCCAATCAAATTTGTCTTATATATTTTCCTTACAAGTTATTATCATGAGGTATTCAATGTAATCTAGGATTAAAAATAGATTTCAATCAATAAAAAAACACTCATAAGTAACTCTTGTTATAGTTTTTATAGAACAAAGGACTTATTCGAAGGTTTTAGAGATATTTCCAAAGATTTGAAGTTCAAATGTATCGAGCATATGAATAAAGCTAATGAATAATGATTATTATAAAAATTTTGTAAATCCCCTTGAATTCTGATAATCTCTACCAGTCAATGTGCTCAACTAGGAAGTGTGATATGACTACATTTTGTTCTGATTTAGTGAGAAAAAGTTAGAACTTGAAACAATGATATGGTGTGATATTTTCACGGTTTTAATCAATACCATAAGTTTTGTAAATATACATATAAAAGTGGGATCCATGTGTTACGCCTGCACGTAAACACGTCAACTTGATATACTTGAACTATTACGAGTTTACCTAGTCCGAAAACGAAAGCGAGGATCTGGTGACACGACATGCTACTCAAATCCGATTATCCCAACCGACATATTTAGTAAAAAATAAGAAGACATGATATGAAGTAGAACCTGTATTCTACAAGCATCCACAAAGTATGAGGTCCGAATCCAAAAGAGAATCCCGGACTACGGATCCGGGACCGAGCCCTGGTCCTGGTCGTGGTCATAAAATGTTTCAGATAATGCGTATTTATACATTTTGGTCGAATAGGAAACAGCATCGAATTCTGTGACATTGACAGTTAGGACGAGCAATAGGAAGTAACATTTGAAGTGACATTGATCGTCAGGATGGCCAATAAGAGACAACATTGAAGTATTTGATTTTGACAGTTAAAACGACCATAATTTTGACCAATAGGAATTGACCAATAGGAATTGACCAATAGGATTCGACTAATAATTCTCTAATGATATTGGATGTATATCCTAACACCATGATGCTGATTTTGTCCTATTCAGGATTCGTATTTAACTGGATGTACCTACATTCTAGAGTTGATGTTTATTTCGAGACTGGAAGAAGACTGTAAAATGCCAGTAAATCCACCTAACCAGTACCGAACAGAACGTAACGCGCATCATGGATTCCACTATTAAACAATATTTATCTTTGAGATGGTGGAGAAAACTTGTAGCTCAGGCGGATGATTGTGGTGGTGTTTCGTTCTCTGAGCTCAGAGAACGAAACACCACCACAATATTTATCTTTACTTATAGTCACTGAAATATATGTATACCACATTTTTCCTATTTCTATTTTCAAGCTTCATTTATTGGAGATTATACTAATTTACAATCTCAAAATAATTCCCCAGTTGATTCTCAATATAATATGAATCCATCTGTACAGTTGTCATCATCATCATCAGCATCAGCATCTACTCAACTTCCATCATCCTTGTTAATTGAATCCTATCATTGGCATCAATCAAAACAAGGTGATCCAATTAAATATTTGGAAACTACTGGAAATAGTTCTATTTCTCTTTTATTACCATCTAGTCGTTATTCTTATAAGCTAATTATTACTGCACCATTAGGTTATTTCATTACAATTATTGGACGTGTACGTTCAACAGGTTTGAATAATTCAAGTGAACAGTTTATTGAGAAGCATATTTCTTCTACAAAAACTATTACATCTATGAATCTGTTATTTGGTGATTATGATTATATTTTAACAAATGGTATTATAACATGTCCATTATTAATTAAATATTATGCTAATCAATGTATTGATTCAATGTTCAATGCTGGACAAACATTGGAACAATTGATCAATTTAATTGAAGCCTATGATAAACAAATTCATGAATCGGTTGTTACTACTACTACTACTCAGAATATTAGTAATAATAATAATAATACTGAATTGGAGTTTATAGAAAAAGTTACAAGTGTTCTGACGCATTTAGATGTTCAGCAAAATGAATTAAAACAATTATTATCAATATGGCCTAATCAAGAGGTAAGAACTTTTTCAAAAACTATACAATAAATCTAGTTAAGATTTGATTGGTCAATTTAAATGCATGGGGTGAAAGTGATAATATATACTAAAGACCTTGAGTTGACCAATCAGAATACATATAGCATCTGATGAATTTCGTCGCGTAAAGGTAAAGTGCTGTGACAGATAACTTATTTGCAGGTTGTTATTAACAAAGTCTAGAGGTTAAGCATTCGCGCACGAAGTCGGAAGTACAGGGCTTGATTTCTTTTTGTGAGGTTGTGCATGCGCACGGTTGTTGATGAAAGAGCTGTCTAGTACTTTCAGATTTCTAATTGTTGGAGACGTTAGATCTCCAGAACTCGCTAAATGTCTTACTTTTGGATTTGATTCATGGGCTGATCAGCTGACCTTGAGATCACATTTCCCACCAGGAAACTCCTTGACTGTGATTGGTTGATGTGTCATTTTAGTGAGTTATTTTTTGTGACTCTCTCAAGGACGTTTCTATGATGTATAAATAAACGTAATTTATGTGTTTCAGATCATTGAGTTGGCTGAATGTTTGTAGGATACACTTTCTGCGCTATATCAAGACCTTGAAACTATAACAAGTTCACTTTAGTCGATAAACGAGAACGAGACAATGAATCAGTGACGCGATAAGCTACTCTGATACTTCACCCCAACTAACCGAAGAAAAAGTCTTGATATAGCGTAGAAAGTGTATTCTACAAACATCCAGCAAATACGATGAATCTCAAGCACACAAATTGCGTTTATTTATATATCATAGAAACCTCCTTGGGAGAGTCACAAAAAATAACGTACTAAAATAACACATCAACCAATCATAGCCAAGGATCTTTCTGGTGAGAAATGTGATCTCAAGGTCAACTGATCGGCCTATGAATAAAATCCAAAAGTAAGACATTTAGCGAGTTCTGGGGATCTAACGTCCCCAACTCTCACTAGCTGTCTATGAAAATCTTGGTGTCCCAGACCATTGTTGTCTAGTAATTAATGTCTGCATTAGTTTGAAAAATCCCTCATTAAGAGCATGATGAAATACAGAGAAAATATATGTACTATCCACCTCCTGCAACTATTCCTAATTTTTCTCTCAGCTGAAGGTTGATTTATTCTCTCGCCATAGTAAGTTGCTGTTGATCGTATTTGGTCAACGGATCCTCGGGATCGTGCGTAGACAACTGTTAATAAACATCTTGTCTTGTAGATGATGGCTTTCTTGGTTCTGCAAGTTTGTGCTTCATACAGCTGCATTGTCTTAACATTTGTATTGACAATTGTAACGTCGGTGTTGGTTGACAGAGGGTTGTTTTGAGTTCCAGACGTTCTTCAATTGTAGGACTGACACACTTGCTTTGCCGATCTGGGCATCAGATCCGCCTTGTTTAACGACGATGCTACCCAGTTAAAGGTTTCCACATCCTTCAAAACTTCTCTTTCAAGTGTGATTTTGATTGGTTCATGTTATATTGTATCGGCGGATCTTGATTTTTCCCTAGTGTTTACTAAAACCTATTGCTACAGAGGCTGCAGCTACACTGGTCATATTCTCCTGAATTTTTTCCTATTTTATGTGGGATAGAAGGGCTAGATCATCTTCAAAGTTCATATTAGTCTTTAGAACAATAGAACGAGATTGTCTCATAAAGTGGCTGGACGTTTCAAATATTAGAAGCTTAACAATCTTAAAATAACACGATCTCAAATGAACTTGAGGATTCTAACGTTATTTGGGTACTTATTACCTATGAATTCCTCCATATAACAAGGCAACTATTCAATACTGCTTAGTATACAACAAATATTTCTACTGAATTCAGTCTATAATGAAAAGTTGTTTCTGATGAAACACTCTTCACTAAAATCATCCTAATCACAAGAATTTTGTTTAAATTTACCAATGTAATTCCAAGTTTTATATATGGCTTTTTTTTGAAAAAATTTTATTCAGGCAATTAAACCAACTTTATTGTCAATACTTCAACATTTAACGGAAAATTCTGGAACACCAGAAATGAATTATGCCTGGCGTATATTACAAACAGATTTTACAACAGTAAATCCATTTCAAGTAGTCTATGGTCATGGTAAATGGTCATGATACATTTATCATTATTGCAATAACTTTTTTCATTCATTTTTATGCTAATGAATTCATAGTGATATGAACAAAAGAAGATTACTGAGGTTCAGTTTAACACTAGATATCATAAATCGATAATTGTTAGACCATTACTGAAAACCTAGAAGTGCTGCATGACCGTTTCGGTCTAGTATGGGACTCATCAGTGGCAGTTCGCACAGGCGAATGCCTAACCTGTGAACCACTGAGAAGGTGGCATCCAACGTTTTTTATCGTTAACTTTAATCAGTCCAAGAATTTGGCGCAACCTTATCCATTCATTGTCTTCGGTAGGTAACTGTCTACAGTCAACATGGTTGAACTCGACTGGTCACGGCTTCTCACCAGAACTCTAAGAATATCCACACAAAGTTAGTCAGTTGTGAATGGGTCGAGGAAGTGTACAGCTGATGAGTCCCATACTAAGACGCAAATTAAATATAGTTGTGACATCAATGATCAAACAATCGATACGAGTTAAGATATTCAGAGAAATAATCATTATAAAAATAATAATGTTGGGGACGTTAGATCCCCAGAACTCGCTTGATAAATGCCTTAACTTTGGATTTCATGTCTGCGGGCATGGGTTGATCAGTTGGCCTTGAGATTTCATTTCCCACCAGGGAAATCCTTGGCTGTGATCGGCACATTTATAAAAATGAGATCATTTTATAACTGAGACAAATATTTTGGTTTATTGGCCTTCAGGTTGAGGCTACAATAAGAGGAAGGAATTGAACACATTTATTCTGCTTAAGTAACTCCAGCTTTTTAATTTGAGGAGTGCCGTTGTTTTCATGTTTTGGCAACAACAAGATTAAGTTGATTGACTCGACCAATTACTGAGACAGATGTATACTGGTGCTATGACCCTTTTGCAGTAAATAGCCTAGTATTGAGATGTTTGAAACTGACACTACTCGTTTGATTATCCACTCTGAGAGATGTTAACAATCCACAGAACTTTTACCATTTATAACTTGCTCCACAAGTGCAGCTAAACTGACAGTCATTTTAGGTAAATTCATCTTTTAGCCTCGGCTTGTCACCAGTAGGCGTGTGGAATACCACTATTAATTGCTCTGTGCAATTTCGGAATTCATAATTCACCAGTTTCACCCCCTTTAAATTGTAGGCGAATGAACAGGGATTTCTTATTCACTGTTTGTATTTCACATATTCTAACTTTTGTGGTGATGCATATTTGTTTGCATGAAATTGGTTGTGGAGATTTTAGAGTAAATTTTTGAAATCATGAATTGATCAGTTAGAAACTTGGAAGCACTGGACAGCCGTTTCGTCCTGGTATAGGACTCACCAGCAGTGCGTATCCATGACTCCTGAAACCTGAAGGATTTGAACCTAGAACCTCCGGTCTTCCGCGCGAACGGCTTACCTCTGGACCACTAAAGCTGGTAACTAACGGTGTAAGTATCTAACTTCAGTCAGTCGACTGTCATGCGCAACCTCATCCACTGTCTTCGGTGAGCACTGCTTCATACCTGAACAGGGTTGGAATCCACTAGTCATCACGACTTCACACTACAACTTGGAAAAACCCCCTCTTGGAAGGTACCACACAAGTCGTTTAGCTCGTCTTTAAGGATATCATCAGTAGAACATCTAGTTTTTAACAGGTCTCATTCACACTCTAAGGATACAGATGCTAAAGAAAGGTATTTACTGCCATGTTTAAATTTTTCTGTTTATTGATCCATCCTCCTATTCTGTTGATCGAGAATCGAATACGGTAATTCTGCAGTAAAATTACTCTTTAGTTGTAAATTTAATGCCAGGGTATACTTCATTACATTTTTGTTTAGTCAAAAAATACATCATAATTATTATGGACACCAAAATGATTTTATTTTTTCTAAAAATTGTTTTTAAATATTTCAGAAACAATTTCAAATCCAGCTCCTTTAGTTGTAACAAAACAAAAATCAAAAGTCACTAGTTCACGTAAGTAATGAACAGATTTATTATTGTTTCTTGTTAAATGTACAATGTTTGAACTTAAACTAGTCATACAGACATTAGTCATTGTTAGAGAAGACAGAAAGAATCATGTCAATTGTTCTGAATTTTAGATTTACAATTATTCCATGGTCAAGGTAAGAGCTGATGCTTGTTTGAGTATTTATCTTTTAATGTCGAAAAGTTAAAACAAGAAGATTATTATGCATGCACATGAACACGTCAATTGATATGCTTGAACTATTACGAGTTTACCTTATTTGGAAAAGGAGGGCGAGTATCGATGATACAGCGACACGACATGCTACGCTAATCCGAATGTCCCGACCCCCGAATGAGTAAAAGAAGAAGACTTGATATGAAGTAGAATATGTATTCTAAAAGCATCCAGAAAGTATGAGGTCGGAGTCCAGAAGAGGATAAGGATCCGGGTCTTGGTCTGGGTCCGAGTCCGGCTCAAAAAACGTTGCACACAATGCGTATTTATACAGTTAGGCCGAATACGAAACAACATTGAAGTCTGTGACATTGATAGTTAGGACGACTAATATGAATTGACCGATAAAATTAGACTTACAAACAAATTATCTTAGGATATTGGATGAATATCCTAACAAAAACCTCATAGGATTCCGTTTAACAAGGGAAAAAGAAACTAGGAGTACATCTGAAGAACAATTAGAAAACTATTCAAAATGTATCATGAAGGTGTTGGTCATATGATGACTTTAAAATTTCAAATTTAGAAAAGTTTTTTTCATCGATAAACTGATCACACTGCTAAACACTACTATTACTATTCTTTCTGTCAGTAAACTATAACCGTGAGGAAATCTCTTGTAGCGACTCCGCATACATTTGAGTTTGCTTGTATTTAATTTGGTTAAGCCTTTCGATTAACTTATTTAACTATGCCAAAATTTATATGTACCGTTGGTTTTTTCTATTGTCTGGTTTGTATGAACTGGTATGCCTGAACATTGAGTACCGCATACGTGAATGTTCATCTTACTCGCTTAAATGTTAACCTCTAAAATATTTCGATGACTCAAATACTTTCCTATGTATATATATGTACATTTTGATCTAGTCAATTTATTCTCCAAGTCTCCAATTCGCTCGCTCAATTGCATGCTTGTGGTTGCTGGTCCATTTTTAGTCTGCCAAAATAAACGTATTCAACGCTTCGTATTCGCCTTCCGAATTGTAAACCGCCAGGCGCTCTTTAGTAATGATTGTCTAGACGAGAAAATTATGAAATCTAAGAACACGTTGGATACCGATCGTTATGACACTAGTGATACATTGGCCACCATAATCTAATACTTACTTCTAGTCTCTATCACTGTGACAGGCTTCCTGTACAAAATTAGTTAATTTTTTTGAAATCATGAATAGATAAATGTTAGAGCACTATTGGAAAACTGGAAGCATTGGGCGATCGCTTCGTACTAGTATGAGACTCATCAGCACGACCCTGTACACGATGATCAAACGCAGAACACTCGATCTCGCACATGAACGTATAAACTTTTATCAAATTTTTGGTGAATATATTTGATAAATACGTTGTACGTTGCAGTAAATCGTATTTGCTATAAAATGGACAGAAATAAATGTATGAGCGCGTACATTCAGAGCATTTGTTCTCTCCCACAGTAGGTTCTTACTGATAGTATCTGGATAAATATAAATAAACACCTGTATCCTTAGGGTGATGGCTTTTGTGGTTCTTCAAGTTTCTGCTCCATACAATAGAGATGTTTTGGCGTTTGTATTGGAAATTGTGAGTTTGGTGTTGGTTGACAGACATTTGTTTTGACTTTCGGAATTTCTTTGATTGTAGAAATACTACTCTTGGTTTGCCAATCTGTGTCTTTACATTGGTATCAGGTTCGTCTCGTTTATCATTCATGCTAACTAGGTAGGTAAAGATTTTACATCTTTCAAAGCTCGGTCGGTGCATGTTGTGTTGAATTGGAAGATGTTGCTTTTTACCTTGTGTATATGGATGGCTATTGCTTCAGAGGTTGCTGCTGCACTGGTAGTCATCCTTTGCATTTTGCTGTTGCGTGTAGGATAGAAGAGCTATATCATCTGCAAAGTCTAGATCGTCAAGCTGCATCCGAGATATCCCGTGTATCCTATTCTTCCCCTTAGATTTTGACGTCTGCATAATCAAGCTGACTACTAGGAGCAAGAGAAAGGGTGAGAGTAAGCAACATTGTCTGACACCGATCTTCACTTGGAAAGAGTCTATGAGCTATCCTCCATGAACAGTTTTGCAGTTTAGTCTATCATAAGAATTCCGTATGATGTTGACAGACTTTTCAGACACGCCGCAGTGTCGAAGCAGCCTCCATAGTGTTACCCTGTCCATTTTATCAAGTGCTTCCTCGTAGTCAATGAAGTTGATATAAAATGGTGAATTCCATTCAACCGATTGTTAAAAATTTATTCATAGTGTCACTAGTTAGTAATGCCTTCTTTTACGTAAATGAGATAAACGACTATAAATCCAATGTTAATTGCAGTTAAACAGTTAATAAACAGCTTGAAATTTTGAATTTAGTTTCTAAACTATCTAGTTTAAACAGTTCGATTAAGTCAGTACTCATTATAGATGGATTCTAATTTGTACTACTACTACTACTACTACTACTACTACTACTACTACTACTACTACTACTACTACTACTACTACTACTACTACTACTACTACTACTACTACTAATACTACTACTACTACTACTACTACTACTACTACTACTACTACTACTACTACTACTACTACTACTACTACTACTACTACTACTACTACTACTACTAACACTACTAACACTACTACTATCCACGTTACTACTACAAATACACCATAACAAATGTATTAATCATTATTGTCTTTTGATTAATATCGATATATCACTTTATCTTTCTTTTTAATAGGTGTAGAAAAAACTAATCCAACTGTTAAAGCGTGAGTTGATTTACTTGTTCTACATGAAAATCTTAACAATAGAAATTTTTTTCCATAGTTTTATTGTTGATGAAATTGATTTGATTTGACAGTTTTCATAAACTACTTGCATATTGTTTTTACCCAATCATATCTGGTAAACTGTTTTGCATTGATTCATTTTCAACTAGATCAACATTACTTTTACTAATCTTAATATCTGTAGGAGTAAAAAGTTCAAACTTGATCATTAAAACGAACTGTTGTTATTAAAGATGAATGTATATTAGTGATAATAATAATAATAATAATAATAATAATAATAATCACAACGTATCGTTAGTTCACTCCGACAACAGTGTCTTTGAATGACACTCTGTGTGTTCATTGTTCAATATTCTCATTAAATTGGATATTCACTCATATTCACAAGATATTATTCTTTTGATAAGATATCGCGTAAATTATCACAATAACAAACACTAATCAACAAAGTGATCTGAAATCATTCACACAGATAAAAATATATTAGATAAATAATGATGATACTAGAGATTGAGAACTATTGAACATTTATAACGGAATAATATAAACAAACTCTTAGAATTCAAATCTATTGAAAAAGTTAATACTTATCTTTACTAAATAATTTATGGAATAACATCAAATCTAACTAAGATGAAATACCTAATCAGTAATTTAATACTTACCTCAATTTAACATTTATTTAAAACGTGAATCATTGTTAGACCACCATTAGAAACCTGGAACCACTGAACGGCCGATTCAACCTGGTATGGGACTCATCAGTGGCACTGCGCATCCACGACTCATGCACCTCGCAGGATTCGAACCCGGGACCTTCGGTATTGTGCGCGTACGCCTAACAATTTTTTAAAATTATTGGGTTTATTTGGAACTACATCATGTCATCGAAATGTTCTAGTTATGGACACACTAAGACCTATAAAACTTTAGCATATCTGTACATTAAAAATTTGACCATCAGCAGTTCGCATCCATGACACACCACAACAAATTGAATCCTGAACTTTCAGTCAATCTCTCGAACACTTAACCTCTTAACCAGTGAGTCATCGTCCGATGGTATTATTGTCTCACTTCGATCACTTCACAGTAGTGTACCACAATCATCTTTTGTCTCTAATGGGCGACTCTCTTACAATCAACACAGTTGAAATCCATCGGTCATGGTTTCTCACTAGAACCCTGAGAATTCGCTCACAAATCTAGTCACTAATGATCACATGATAAATGTTACTATAGGGTTGTGGAAATTGTGGAGTTTCATTGAAACCTCCAAAAATTTAAGCATTTATACGCAAGAACAAAGGTTCCGGGCTTATTTCCCTGTGTCGTGGTGATGGATTCGTATTGCTAATCAGTTCCTTACTAGGGAAACAAATTAATATCAAGTGCTATGATGTTTCTAATGATGGTAGTCTACCATTGATCAATTTGTCATTTTAATGGAACTCAACAATTTCCACAATTCTATAATGACTATATTAAAACAAATAATTTTCTATTTTGTTCTTCATATGTTTACTCTTTTCTTTTTTTACAGTACTGCAGTTGAAGAGTCATTTATCAATCGCTGGAATCGACCAGTTGACCCCGATATGTTAATTGCTATAGTACGTATACAATCATTATATCGTGGTTATCGTATTCGGAATGCCATACGTTTAAGTCAGACAAAATATATTATAGAAACTTTATTATCGGTCGTGAATTTTCAACATCACTCAAATAATGATAGTAATAACAATAGTGTTATAGAGAAATGTGAATTCAAACTCAATCGTTTTATACAAAAAAGAATTTTGCAAAGAATGAAACGTTTATCTACTGGTTGGATGAGTTGTTTAAATCTATTACAACAAGGTCAACGTCAATCTGAGGCGGGAAATAAATTAATCGAACGATTAGTTGTTACCAATTCCAGAACAAGTGATAATAATAATAATAGTGATAATAGTAACTTTAGTATACAAAGTAAATTCTATAAAGATATTGATTCGTATTTAAGTATCAAAGAATATTCTGGAACTTGTTCTGAAATTCCATCTCCATGTCCAATGCATAATACAGGATCTCAATTAATCGATAATGACAAATGCAATAATAATCCATTTCATAAAGATTGGATTCATTTATTATTTCGTGATTGTATTTATCCATCGAAATTATTGAAAAATGAATGTGTCAATCATGAAGAAGGAGTGAAATATTCAATTCGACTGAAAACAACTATATCGGATAGTTATATTTTATTAGTAAATAATGATAATGGTAAGTGTATGAAATTTTATACTTACTCCACTGTTGTGTATGTTAAATCCCCAAAACTCGCTTGTTAAATGCCTTATTTTGGATTTAGCGTTTGCGAGCATAGGCTGATCAGCTGACCTTGAGATTTCATTTCCCACCACGAAATTCCATGGCTGTGATTGGCTGCTGTGTATTTTAGTGTGCTGTTTTTTGTGACTGTCCCAAGGACGTTTCTATGATGTATAAATAAACGAGAGTTTTGTGCTTGATTGTATTGTGCTTGTTGGGTGTTTGTAGAATATACTTTTCTACGCTTACCAAGCCTTCTTACTTCCGCTTCGGTTTCAAGGTAGCCTACCTGGACGCTGGTAATAGTCTCGTTCGCGTTTATCGACTAAGGTGAGCTCGTAATAGCTTCAAGCGTACCTAGTGACGAACCCTACATCTTCAGTCGTTGCATTCTTATTGGCATAATTTAGATAAAAGTGTATTATATAAATACTGAGAAAGCAATGCATATTTTTTTGGGTAGATTCATTCTCAATCAACGGGGGGAATTTCGCATTGGTTCTCAAGAGAACTAGACACTGTTCAAGTGGTTGACACTACAACCAGTGAATAGTACAGCTTCATCCTGTGGTACAACCACCACACTGTAGTGGACCACTCACACTACTTATGTGGTGTGAGCTACTTATAAGTAGTATATGACGTGAGTGTCAACGTAATGTCTGGTAGCAGAAGATGGGGGAAGATCAAGAAGGGAAGAGTTAGAAAACAATGGTATTTGTATGAAATGCATAAACAGTGACATTGGATTGATGTTTTGCAGCAGGAACAGTCCAGTTCGATATGATGAACTGATATTTTGCAAATTAACGATTTATGATATGGTTTTCCAATTTTACTGAGTAACTCTGTAATTTCGCTAAATACAATTCGGTTGCCCCACCTGTGTTCTCGTTCACTACACTTATATACACCAATACATATAAAGATTATTTCCAATCCATGATGGCGTCAGTTAATATGCCAATGGGTCATTTGGACACATGCCACTTACATGACTATCAAACTAGTTATTATTAGTAATAGTGATATGCATTACAGTGTCCCAATGACAATGGCGTACGCGAATGTTGCAAAGTCGGTCATCCTGTAAATCATCCTGTAAAACCCTAACAAAACTTGCCAAAGTAACATCAAACTATCCACAGTGATCATCATAACGAACCTCTGATCTCATAGGAAACCTGCATCTATATATATATATATATATATATATATATATAAAAAAG